ACTGACGAAACTACTTATTGGCAATGGAATGAGCAGAATGAGAATAGGAAAAGAGAGGAAAAAATGTTGAGCTGAATGATGCTTATGAGGATGAAAATGATGACGATAAAGGAAAAAATGAAGATTGATGAGAAAGCATCAAGTTATTTATCAAGCTTCCACTTGTTTGAACTGTTTTTTCATCAACAGGGAAAAAATGTGTTGTTTCAATCAATGAATATTGTATCAGGTTTATGCAAGCATTTGCAACCAATTAGGTCCAATCGCGTCTCAATCACACGCTTCAAAGCTATCAAGGTACAAGACAGGAGCGCTTTGAGTGTGATCTGTAGCAGAACAGCTCGGAACTGCACATTCATTGACAACACTTGGTTTTCAATCATGCCATAACTTTGAAAGTCATAAGTTATCAACTAGTGAAAGAAATTGGCAGTTTTTGAAAATGACATCAGTGAGAGATTAGATAACTTTCGTGGCCTTAAAATCTGAATAAACTCTAATCATTTTTGCTCTTAATCATCTTTGCGCGAAAGGATTTTGCTCAAACTTCTTGACTCAAAATCCATCGCATCCAACATTGTTAATTTCATTCAATGCAAGAAAAATCCTACTCTGATGTAAATATCAGGTAAATCAGGCTTCGTACAGCTATTGTTGAACAATGTGATTCCAGCAAGTACCCAATGTTTTCCTACTTTGACCATCATCGGATCGTCAGGATTAGGAAAATATGCATCTTTTTGTCCTTTTGGATAACCAACACAAAGTAAGGAAGCAGTGATATTTGTTTAGTTGTCTTCAGCTTCTTTGAAAATTCTTTGACAATCATCATATCTAATGATGGGAGCACTGGTTATTTGCATATTTGAAGGTAATTCAATTCTGTATGGTTCAAATCTGAGATCATTAACTGTTCGTGAGTTATGACCGCAAACAAGTAAATACCTTGTGCTTCATCAGGGATACATGAAATTTGTATTGCGGCGCAGAGGTGAAATTCTTGGACCGTCGCAAGACAATTGGCAAGAATGTTTTCATTAATCATGAACGAAAGTTAGAGGTTCGAAGGCGACCAGATTCTTACCATAAACGATGCCAACCAGTCATCATTCTGAGTAACTAATTTCATGACCCGAATGGATTGCAGCCGTTGTGCCCCTCTCTCGATTTTAATTAGAAACATCGAACGATACATTGGAGATAATCCACCTTCTCATATTGAGCGAGCAATCACCTCTTTAAAAGCTATAGGTGAAACATTGGAAGACACAAAGACTAAGCTAATATTGACGAAAGAGAAGAAACGTTATTTAAAGCAACAAAATGAGATGTTATTCAACCAAGCAGTCAGTGCAAAAAGTGAAGTTTGTAACCTAAAGACTGAACTTGCTGATCTACAGGGAAACTATTCAGCCTTGGTTGGTGAGGCCGAAAGCTTAATTAGCGACGTTGAAGAATTGTTGGAGATGGCACGACAACAAGAGGACCAGATTGGTCAAAAAAACGAAATAATCGAATCAGCGCAAAACACTATTGTAGATCAGCAACACTATATTGCTTATATTGAGGCCGAACTCAATAAGGCCGTTGGAATTCCGCGGCAGGAATTCCCGGCCTCATCGAGATCCCTGTAATCAAGTATCATCCATCATTCATTTCATTTCAAATAAATTTCATTTCCTTTGTTATATTTGTTTGTTAAATTTGTTTACCTGTCCCAGAAATTACATAACTTGCCCTGTCCTAGAAATCCCATAACTAACCCTGTCCCAGAAATCCAATAAGTATACCTGTCCCAGAAATCACCTAAGTGCCCCTGTCCCAGAAATCGCATTTGTCCCAGAACTCACATTTCCCTACTACTAGCTTTTGAGAAACCAAAGTTTTTGGGTTGCGGGCAAAGTGGGTTGCGAATAAAAATTATTGCAAAAAAACGCAAAGAGCCAAACGATTCTGCGTTTAAACTTTAGGGAGTGATTTTACGCTCTCTTTAGTTTGCATGTACCACAAGATTTAATTTGCGGAGAAGAGTTAGAAAATGATGAAAATAGTCTGAAAAGTTAATGAAAATTCAATTGCAAGAAAAGCTCGAAATAGCTGTTATCCTTAAGTGCTGGGAGTTGATGAATCCAAGTTAAAAGTGATGAGCAAAACATTGAGTTGTTTTCACACAACCCATGAAATTGACCTCAGGTGAGAAGTAAAGTGAAAAAATAAAGCGATTGAGACAATTAGGTTAATTAAATGTTGACTAATCTTTTTTTTTCATTTGTGCGCAAAAATTGTCATGTTTCTTGATGGTCAAGTTAACTGACTGGCAAGTCCATAGAGGTTTGCTTGACCAGTTGACCATTGAAAAGACTGACCAATTCACAAGGTTCAACCAAGAGAGAGAGAGAGAGAGAGAGAGAGAGTAAAAATGAGAGGGAAAAGAATCAAAATTGTAATTGAAATAAATAGAATCAAAGTAAACTCTATTTACCAATAGTTTTTTTCCCAATAATCAAGGTTATCCATTTGAAATGTCCATCATTTTTACCAGAAAAAAAACCTGACCCAATGAGATTATCATGGTAAAGGTAAAGAAGATCAATAATAATTGGTTTACATTCCATGGAAAAGGCCATGTGAAACATTTAGTTTCAACATTCATTCACCTGAACAAGAAGGCGGAGGAAAAAATCGACAAAATTTTTTCTCTTCTTTTCACTTCGTTTTGTACCTTTGATTTTTTTCTTCTTGTTCAACATTATTGTTACCATTTGACTTGAGGGAAGGAAAGAAACAAAAAATGGAGTTTGAAGGGAAGCAAAAAAACAAAGAAAAAACTGAAAAATAAAAAATGATAACTTGAAAGTTTATCTACTGAGAAATTGTGAACTTTTCTTGTTTTCTGTCTTGTTTTGCTCTTGCATCTGGAAATGATTCAAAATGAAGACAATTGTGAGTTTAGATGAAGACAAAGATTTGTTGTTTGTTTGCCGAAAGAGAAATGAAAAAAGGTAAATATTTTCTCACTCCATTCCAAAGACATTCCATCATTGAATGAAAACGATTTTTTCCTATCATTCCCTTCACCCTCAGGGAGTATCAAGCATAAAATGATAACAATAATCTGGATAACAACATTTCATTGCAAAATTTTGCTTTTCCATGTTTTATTCAATAAAATGTTTTCCATTTCAAATCAACCTTTTCTCACCTAATTGCCGAACAAGATTTCACTTGCAAAATTGCACTCAGGTGAAATTGAATCAGGTTGTACCAAGCAAAAGATTCATTTTCGACTTTTCCATTTTTCGAAATTTTCATCATTGGCTTGAATTTCTTTTCGGCATTTCAATTTGAGAAGAGTGTAATTATATTGGTGAATTTCAATTATCAGTCGAATTCTTTAAATTATGATTGATGAGGTTTCCATTTGCTCAAGTTGAATTTGTTTAAGCTTGAGGCTTTTCTCAGTCTATTTGTCATGCAAAAAGTTGTTCCAATTGAAATTGTTTTCCATTCTGGAAATGTTAATCATTTTGAATCATTTACTTTTGATAACTTAAAGAATGCTCAAGGATATTATTAGAGTAAAGTTGGAAAGGAAATTGTAAAAATAAAAAAATCTATTTAAGTTGTTGATGAATGAATCAATTTGAAATCTCAATTATTTTGGAAACAAAAAATCGTTAGAAAATGTTTACCATGAAATGACTGTTTGGTAGGGAAAATTGTTCAGCCACGAATTTTGTTTCCTCAAATCGAAGAAAATAATCAGAGAAAAGGGAATTTTATTTTGATTAATGCAAAACTTCTGCTTCCAGATAAAATGAGAATCGTTAGTGCAATTGATTTGAACTTGTTAAATTATGCAACGAAAAACAGACGGCAATGAGTTTGAAAATAGATGATTTACCAAGAAAATCGGAAAAACAGAAAAATCGAATAGTCATCATTCGAAGTTGTTGGATGAATTATTTGAATCAAGGTACTTGGAAAATGGACAGTTTCGCCTTTACTCATTTTGATCATGGATTATCATGGAAATGAAAGTGAAGGACAGAGTTCGCCCAAGGTTAAGTTAAAATCATTTGTTTAAAAAAATATTGAAATGCTTATTTAATGTGTGATATAATGAAGCTCTTTTTGAAATTTTAAATGACCTTCACTCTAAAGATCGAAGGTCAGATTCCCGAAAATGACCTCCGATGACCTTGAAATTTTTTTATGTAATATACAAAAATTAAGTGTTTAAAATGAGAAAGAGAAATTGTACAAATTATTCTCCTCTTTCTTCCTTCTGTCTATTTCTCTGTCTTGGCAAACACATTTCTTATTCTTAACAATGGTAAGAAGGCCAAAACAAACTCTGTTTCAACAGGGATTTTAATGTGACATAGCACAATCGATAGGGCAAACCTTCCATATCAACAGACCGAGTATCTTTTTTGTTGTAAATTTAGTGATTCCTTAGATCAAGTACAGTTGAAAATGTTCAACTGTACCTGTCATATTATTAATATTTAGCACATTCTGTCTGGCTGCCTTTTGAGTGCTAATTATTCCGATTTGAAATGCTGAATCAATCTTCTGAAGAGCTAACTAAACTCGGCCTTATTGGAATAATGCAATCTACCTTTCAAAAGATTGCTGTAAAGTTCAAAATTCATATCATTTGATTTCCAATTACATTTTGAATGCGTCAATGATGAATAAAGTGTTCTACTATAAGAAAGTTTCAGGAAATTCTAAATTTATATTTTTCGACTTTGTATGGATAATTTATTAATAGAATCTAAGTTTGTCACTGAATTTTCAATGTAATTTTAAAATTAATCATTTTTAAAAGAAAAAGTTCATTTAGCTTACGAGGTTCATGATTAGCATAGAATCATGAATCTGTCAATAATTGGTTGACTCTTCATGCTTATCGAGTTTGATTAAAGTTTCAACTATTCAATTCTCTATCAAGCTTAAATGATGGATGAAAAGTCAATGTAAATAGTAATTACCTTGTAAACATCAATTTCACCGCAAAAACTGTCAAATTGAGTGTAAAGAGCATTTAACATGTTGATGACCATCATTGGAGTTGCATTTGAACATATGGCAGTGAACCCAACAATATCGGAAAAGAGCATCGTAACATCATCATACTGTTGAGCCTCAACCTGCTCTGAAAGCCACAACTTTTTAGCCACTTGAGCGGGAAAAATGAGATTCAATAGATCAACATTTTTCTTTCTTTCCATGGCAACAGCTTCATTGGCTTGCTGAATCGATTCCCGAAGTTTATCCATTCGTCGCTTTAAACTCTCCTGAGCTCGAGACTGTTCCTCAACCAAAATAATGTCTCGAGTTGCATCGTGAATGGGAATATCTGACAAGTAGAGACCTCGACTGGTCAAAGACTCTAGTCCATCAACAACCGGTGAACCCAAAAAAAGAAGACAAAACGACTCGGGACAAGTTATTATCTGACCTTTAAGTTCAAGATTCTGCAAAAAGAGAAAAATGAAAATTCGAAAAAAAAGCGTTTCAAAAGTCATGTCATTTTGTACGTTTTCCTCTTAATTTCCTTTCATTGATTCGTTATTATTTTTTCCAATCTAAATTCGTTATTTACAGCAATGAATAACTCAACTCGTGACTTGCCTTTTCAAAATGTTCACCCAAAGTCAATAAGTGATGAAATACAAGAGATTGGGATAAAAAAAGGTCGACTGAAAATGAAATTACATTCACCTTTTATCATGTAAAACATGATAATAATAAATGAAAATGTTTTGATGGAAACTGTGTGATACAAGGAGAGCAAAAAATAACATGAAAAAAATGCAACCTTCAAGTTATTTTTAACTTTATATTGAAGACATTTTTTCCCATCAAAATCACGTTCGATACTTTTTTCACCCAATTTTAATCGACAACTGAATGGTATTGAATAAAGGGAGAAAAAAAGTTGATTTTTTTCTCTTTTCTCCAACATTTAGCCCTAAAAATTGACGAATCTAATGATGAAAAGTAAAAGTGTAAACTTGCAAAAATTGATATCTTTGCTCAGTTTATTCATATTTTCTGGTTCATTCTGTTTACCTTTGGCTTTGCTTCCGGTTCTGGGTCTAAAACTTTAATGATAAATGGTATGTTGGCCAGTGTAACCAAAGATTGATAATTGACTTGATTAATTTCAGGCTTTTGGAAGCTAAAATAGCTTGAAATATGAGTTCCATAGGCTCGATTTCCACCTCCAAATATTCGAAGTAAACCTGAATAGAAAGAAAAAGAAAATTATTCTTCACAGTTTTTATGGCAATTTTTATCGAATGAAAGCTCGAAATTAGCTTTTATAACTGAAACAATTTTTGGAAAAAAAGAAAAACCAAAAATTCTAATTTTTATCCAGTTGCATTTGATGTTTCAGTTTGTTTCATTGCATGACAAATTTCTCAGTCTTGAGTTTCCATCAACTGAAAACTGATAAATTTTCTGTCACACAAATGAACGTCAAGCTACTCATCATTGTTGAAAAATGAGACTAATTTTGAGCTTCGATAATCGAAATGTTCATTTTGAGGTAAACTTTTATCATTGAATCTTCAGATTCGAAACAAGAATTTTGTAAAGTTGAAAGTCTGATTGAATCTAAATCAAAATTTAATCAATAATTGAATGTAATTAATCTTGAGTCTGGCTTTGAATGGAAAGTTCAACTTGGAGTTTGTAACGAAGTTATTCAATTGAGATGAAAAAGATTCGCCTTTTCATGATTCTTTTCAATATTTTCGTTAATCAAGTCATCTCAATTATACCTCTGATTAGACTTTTTATTCAACCTTTTCCAATCATTCATTATCTCTTCAAGCTAATCGCATCAATCATCTTTAACAATCATCTGAACGAGTCACTTCAATTTGCATATTATACTGAAACGCAATGTTCAAGATGGACGAGACTGAAGGAGAAGGTAAAGGATTACAAAAAGTTGGGTTAATTAAGAACTAATCTTGTGATGGAAAATGAATTTACTGTTGTTTTCATGGGAAAAGTGTGCAAGGTTGAAAGGTTGTTCAAGGTATTACATGATGGAAGAGTCTGAAGTTGGAATTGGAAAAACACTTGGAATCAATCAGATTGACAAAGCTTCTTTTCCTTGGTGACTTGAGATTATTAGGTAAGAAATGGATGAATTGAAAAGACAAAAGATAAAAGTAGAAAAGGAATGATAATGATGATAAAGGGAAAGGATTGAATGGAAATGAAACGAATGAAAGGCTTGCAACAAGAAATGATCAGCCTGATGCTTGATTCTTTATCTGATTTCACGGATCATCATCCATTCCTTCATCATCATCTCTTCTCACCATTTCATTCACCAATTCATTCCCAGGAAAACATTTATCTCGCTTCTGATCAACATTAAAAGTCACCCAACATTATCCAATCAATTAATATTTCATCCCATTTCGTCCATATTCACACATTGAAAGAATAAAGTTCAACTTTTCCAATTTCCAAAAGTTCTTCAACTCGAATCAGCCTTGAAATTTTCTTCAGACACAACGACCAAACTCTGCATAATTCATTAAGAATATGTTCACTTGATATTGTCGAGTTTTATTCGTTCATCGAATTTGCAAGATTCCATTTTATCGTTTTCTTCTTGTTCCAATTAAATTAATTGACTTGTTCAGCAAACTGTTTGATGGTCTTTGAGACTTTCCTTTTTTCATCATTTATAGAGTGATTACAATTTGTTGCTTCAAAAATGCTTGTAATCAATTGCATTAGGGAAACTCAAGGAATCTGTCAATCAACGGAAAATAAAAAAGTTACCAAAAAAACAAGACAACTTTTCCTTTTTTGCAGAGTTACATGATTATTCAGTTGTGTTATAGGGACAATGGACACAAGACAGAAATAACTTTTAACAATCCAATATAATACACCTCATATGAATTGGATCAGTCTACGTTCAGTTGATTGATTTTCTTCTCATTCATTTTCAAACTTGTTTCCTTTATCAGTGTCATGTTAAGGGTCTCAAAATGGTTCAATCATTCATAGTTTTTACACTGACTGTGAGAAGAAACAAATTTCTCATAGGCGAGCATAAAGAGCAACTATAAGTTGTTCAATTTCAAAAGGTAAATGTTATTAATATTGTATCAATTGACCATTCATTTTGAAAGACTTTTTGAAGGATGAATTTTGAAAAATACTTTTAACCAAACTTTAGTGTTATTCAGAAATATCAAATTTTTACATGACCAATGTTTGTCTGAAACCATATTTTCTCATTGAAAATACGGCATCTATTAGTTCAAACGATAACTGGTGAGTCGATCTTCTATGGTTCACCCATGACTATCCTTATTGTATCACTTTCTTGTTATAATCTGTGAATGCAACAAAGAGAATGATAATCTTACAAAAGCTTATTGAACCTCAAAGTGATATGCAGTTACTTTTACACAACTTTTTGTTCATTTCTTTTCCTTTTCCGGCTCTTGGCTCTTAACCTATGTAAATATACACAGACAGTTACCATAATTATCATGAATATTGTGCCTCGAAAGACGAACAACAAAAGAAGACAGAAATGAAGATCAAATGAATAATTTTATTCGACTTTATTTCCCTGATATCCGACTCTTGACTCCTTTTATCATATTATGACAATGATTTTCTTATCTGGGGAAATCTGGTGAGTGATCAGTGGTTTCTCCTTACAAACTTTTTCACTCTTCAACGAACTATTCATTGAGGTGACAATAGCAATAATATTAGGTATCCAACAAAGTTTGATGGATCTCCTCACACGATTGTGCCGGCTATGCCAGACATCGATCAGCGAATTGCTCATCTAACTATAACAAGCTCATAGCAGTGAGAGCAGGAGCTCAATCCAGCAATAACCAAACCTCTTGATAAACAGGAAATCTCGGAATCACATACCTCTAACCTAACCCAACCCGTTCATCAAAGAAGTAACGATGCGACTACCAGTTTTAGTCCCATCTTAAACCATCAAACTGTGCATATTCACAGAGCTTGCCTCGAATTCAATACGAGGGTTAACCATTAAATGGGCGCGATATGCGTATGAACGATAAAAAGACAATTGTTCAACAAGTTTTATTGAATATCGTTGGCAAACAAGTTGCCCTTCAAATGAACATCGAAAAATATTGGCATCAAAACGTAAATTGATTAGAGATGAAAATGAATTTGAAATGTTATCAGACTAATGATCGCTCATTTCAAAAATTGATTAATGATAATAATATCGAAGGCAAAGGAAAAGGAAAGACGCAAAAAGAAGGTTAATTGTTCATGATGAGAATCATTAAAAGATTATCAAGTAATATTAGATTATCAGAATGATGATGATAATTGATGATAAAAGATATCCATAATAATAGCATTTAATATCATCTGGTGAGTAAAAAAGTGATTAAGGTGAATGCAAGTGCAAAAAGAAGCAAAATTAGCATAAAATGGGTTAAACTGCTTCTGTTACATGATCATGATTATCAAGAAAATTCATTCTCATCGGAAAATATTCTGAGCGAAGAAAAAAAAGTGAAAAGAGAAAAAAACTTCTTCTCGAAGACTTGATATTGCAAACAGGATTTACTTTTACCGTTAATGGATAAGTTTATGCATATTATAAATCAGTCCAAGTAGATGATTTTATTCGCTCATTTCTTTATCTATTCAAGTTTATTCATCATCTTTTTACTTCTGTTTTTCATCATTTCAAAAGATTTATCAAATAGATTCACTTTTAAGTTGACATTTTTCTTCTTTTTCATTCTTTGCCTCACATTCATGGAAAATTTCTTTCCAAAACTCTCTGGATCATTTCATGAATATGGATTAATCTCATTCTCAAGTCGACCAAATTTGCGTCGTTCTTTGAACATTCCATGTATTCCAAAAGGAGAAGAGAAGATATTCAACACTTTTACCTTTATAACATTCATCAATAATCTTTTCTCTTCTCTTCTCTTCTCTTCTTTTTTCATCTTTACTCAATATTATTTACTCTTTTCCTCCTCCAACAATATCACCATTTGAAAGCTTTTTTCTCTCTCTTTCCATCATAAGCAAAAAGTGACAACCAAATTGATACCTTGAAAGGTTGGATGAATGAAAATAATCAATAATGATAATTATTGCTCGAAAAGGTGAAACTTGTTTCTTTCCTTTTCACGTTCAGATGAAGATTGATTGGAATACAGCAGCAAGAGTAACTAATCAATCGGTTTTTGATGTTAGTTTGAGAAACTTGCTCTTGTTTTCGACGCAATTCGTAAATGCAAATCATTGTTTCTCCGAAAAGAAAAGAAATTTAAAAATTCGCTGAATCTTAGACCAACTCGAATCACCGAGAGTTCAAGAGCAAACTGATTTGCTACTGAAAGTCACAAGTGTTTATAAAAGTACAAAAAATCAATGTTCCTTTACGAGGGAAATCAATGAGTAAACTGAACAACCTCACCGATCAATTTTTAAGAGCTTTGATCTGATAATATGAAACTGAAAAAAAGAAACAAAAACAAAGATCACAATTTAGCTTTGAAAATATATAAAAATCTCGTCTATTCGGTAAAGTATCTTGTAGTTACTCTTTCAATGAACTCATCATAAATTTGCTTTGCTAATCTCTTATCTAATGTAATCCTTTACGCAAGGATTTAAGAGATTTGAAAGCAATATGTGAACTCATCCTTCAGGCCATTTCACTTTGTCTGTCTTTTAAAAGTCTTTTGACCAACAACATTTTATATCAAATGTTTTACTAAATTCTTTTCTTTCCATTTTTTCTCTTTTTCGATTCTTCACTCCCAGTAACTTATTCTTGTAAAAGAGTCAGTTCAAACTCGAACAGAACATTCGTTCAAATCTTGATTTCTATACTCAACTCGATGGAAAACTAACATTTTTTTGGTGCGAGTTGAAGTATAAATTATCATTTCGTTAGACTTTGATAATAAGTTTTCCCAGAAAATGAACATTCATCGATTACCAGCAAGGTTGGTTAGAGCGACTAAAAAATAGTTTGACTTACCTTCACCTAATTGGACAATTTGTAAATTTGAATCACAGATAAAATGAAATGGAAATGCTTTGCAAAATATTTTCATGGTTATGAGAAGGTCTTTGGTTTCATTGGATATGCTGTTTACACTTGAATCTTCGGAAACTTGAGTTTTCATTTCACTTGAAAATTTATCGTTTCCTTCACCTTTTCGTAATTCACTTTCACAATTGCCATTATTGTCTACATTTTCACGTGCATTGTTGACCAAACCAGGTGAAACAATTGATGTTGATTCAGTTGAAATATGATCGCACAGTTTTTCCTTGTAATCCATATTATTCAATGAATCAATCATTTTATTGCAGCAAAACAAAGCCTTTTTCCAGTTCTCTTTTCCTTCAACCAAAAAAAAAGCAAAACTAATCTGAAAAGTTGAACGAAGAAAAAAAATTCCAATCGAGATTCGTCCTTTTCCAAAGTACAATTATCGATGGTCGACTCAATTAATAACAAGTGTTTACCAACCAACAGCAACCATGCCTTGTTTAACCATTAATTTGGGAAACAAAAAGTTGATCAACTTGTTAAGCCTTGTTTACGGTTCATCATGATTGCCTGGAAAAGAGGAAAATGCATTTGGTTAAGTATTTTAATGTACTTTGACTTGAACTTTGTTCAGTTGAAAAGAAGCAAAAGTGTCCAGAAAAAAAGTGACCATTAAAGTATAGTAAATGACAAACTTCTTACAACATGAAACAGTAACAATGATAATCCAAGCAAATGATGAGTCAGTTACAAGCTTGGAATTTCTTTTTTTTTGCATATTTTTTCTACATCTCAATCTCTGAATTCTTGTAGATAATCTGAAGAGAATGATGAGAATCGACAAAAAATCATCTTCATTAGAGTAATCTCGAGACTTTTTCTACTTCTCTCGAGGTAATCATTTATCTTTTTTTTGATCGCTTATTATAATAAAATGTTGTATCAAATTTCGTTACAAAACACTTTCATCCAGATTCACCTTTCAATGCATTACTTTCTGTCTTTTTTTTACTTTCCTTCAACTTCTTGTCTTGCCTCGTCTAAGGACATACAATTTGTGCATATCATGGGAATCAAGTGTATGCATACACAGTGCAAAGTATATATTACGCCCATCACTGGAAAAAGATGATTATGAGAAAAAATGAAGATTCTTTTTTCTTTTACTTTTCCATGTTGATGTGTTGAAAGTGTATCATCACGATGACGACTTTTCATTCAACTTATTATATCATATCATGTATATTAATATGGTTTGAAAGAAGAGAGAGAAAAGAAGGAGAAAAAAATGCATCAGTTGAACGTGAAGTTTGATCGGTGAAAATGAGGGTTGATAAAGGTGATGATGATGTTGATGGAAAAATGGAATATCATTGAAACTTTGGACAGGGATTTACAGGGAATCATTTGGTCAACAATGTAATGATGTTATAATATTCAGATTGAGATTAGCATATTAAGTAGAAAAGAAGAAAAGAGAAAAAAGAGTTGAAAATGATGGACTATTTCTGGTTGGGAATTTTGGTGTCGACAGGGAATGATAAAGAATATGCTGGGAATCGATTCTGTTGTTATGATGATGAGGTTGATGATGAGGTTGGTGATAATGAGAAGTGTGAAAATGAAATGAAAGGTGAAAAAGCCTAAAGGCTTGAGAAAAGAAAGGCCAAGTGAAAGGTGAAGAATGGTTTTTTTTCTGTTTCGTCCAATTAAAGGATAATTGGATGGTGAAAAGGTGAAGAATGAAAAGAATGGCAAAGATGAAAATGATGATAAAAGAGAGAGAATGAAATGAACCCAGAAAATGATTAACAGCGAAAAATTGTGCAAAGAGTTTGTACAAAAGGAATGCTAAAGACTTTGATTCTGTGATTAGAAAAAGATTATTCAGTTGAAGATAAAGATGTTGCCCTGATGAGGTAAATTCTGATGGATTAACATTTCTTCCTTTTTTTCGTATTCAACTTTTTTCTACTTTGGCTAATCAATGGTTTTTTCTTGTTGCGTAGTTATTCACATGCAAATAAATTAATTAACCTTCTATTGCTTTCCAAGACTTTCATCAGCTTCTCAGCCTTGTTTCATTACAAGTTTATCATGACCATCTTTTCATCCTCAACATGTGTTATCTTGTTCATTCCCAGTGGTATATTTAATGTTAATCGTTTTTCCTTCTTTATCGACTCCAAGTCATAATTGTTATAATAATGTAAAGTTTAATGTTGACAATGGAATGATATCATGTTTGATGGCCAGAAAAACCAGAATTTAACCCTTTACTTTGCTTCCTTTTTTTGCTAAATGAGTTCACTTTTTCTTCTTCTTTCTTTACTCTACAAACAATTTCATCTTTTCTTGTTTGTTTTCCTCATAATTTGCTGGATAAAAACCATCTAACCATGTATCATTATCATCTGACAAGCATCATTATAATCATTTGTTTTTCACGCTTTCAATTTATTTCTCTCAACCTTTACTATTTACCAACTTTTTTCATCCACTTTTTGCCCTTTCATCAACAGGAACAAGATGAAGAGGAAAAGTTTGCAAGTTGAAACCGATTAACAAGTTCACAACCTTTTCTGTTTCAACTTTGATTCTGTTTTGGTTTTACGCTTTTAGTTTTCAACCATTTTTTGCTCTCATTTTGTTTCATCTTGGAACGGAAATCGGTGAGAAATGTTTATTCAATTAAGGTCAACTGATGACCAGATGGAATAAAAGTTAACCATCGGTTGATATTAATGGACTATCATTTTCCATTGGGTGAAATTGTTTAACCCAATAATTAGTTTATTGATTACTATTGTTATTATCGTTTTTGTTTTTCGTTTCCTTCAAAATCGTTTCTTTCATATAAATAATATTGTACTTTTGCGCTTCATCTTTCACTGTAAATGACATTATTCAATTTATCTTGGATTTATATTTCAATGAGAAACTATGAGATAAATATTAATCATTAATTGGACAAAATTTTGCTTTTCCGTTTCTGTGGATGATCAAAGCTCAGGAAACGTTCAGCTTCATTTAGATTAATAAATGAATGGATTCAGTCAACTGTGGTCAACAACTTTTAATCAATCAAAATTAGACTAGATCAATTGCAAACAGATTATTCTTGTTAAACTTTTTCTCACATATTTCAATATCAATATCAATCCGTATTTGCAGCTATATGTTGGAGAAAAATATATTCAATCAAATATCAAATAAGAAAATATATGGCAATTCTATTCGTCGAATTCAGTTGAGTCCTCACTTTATTTGACCTTTACATTGGAAGGTCATTTTCTTAACTCGCTAAATTTTTCTGAACGATTGATGTTAATAACTCATACTCATACTCTTCATAACTCATACTGGCTAAAGGATATGAGTGATTTGATACCATTCCATATGCATACTTTCCTGTTCGCGTCCCGCGTAAAACCCGATATCGAATGACAACAAAATAATTATACTGCAGATGCGATTAGTTATATCATTAAAATATAAATGATGAGTGATAACAATCATGAAAACGGTTTTCGTGCATAAGTTGATGCGTAGATTGACCGGCTGAAACAACTGGTAACGTTGGTATTTTTCATTATACAATTTTTCTAGCCACAAGCAAAATCCATCTTGCTCAAAGTTTTTATTATTGACATCAAATGATGGTTGACTTTTTCGCTCTCAATATTTGCATAAAGCAACCACTAAAATAACGATTTTTCATTTCTCATCCATCTGCTTTAAAAAATTTTCGTTTCCAACCAATGTTAATAGCTTAAAACACTAGCACTTTTGTACTAAAATAATACTGAATCGTTGAATGTCTGTGACTTACTTCAACCTTCAAATGCTTAACATTTTTGAAGTTGCATTTTCTTGTTTTTACCTGAGAATTTCAATTTTCATTGAAAAAATAGTTTTGCTTGGAAAATTTTCTAATCCATTGAGAATGAAAAGTTCATTTTTCAAAATTGTCAAAAATTGCAACAAAATCGTTACAACAAAGTTTTGCTATAAATTGAAATTCAAAAGTGTTTAGATTATCTTTTACTTGCAAGACACTTGAAATTTTGAACAAAAAACAAGGCGATATAAAGTAAGATCTTAAACTTTTGTTTCATGTTGCTGAACAAGATGAAATGAAATAGAAAAGCAGATTTCCTCATTTTCAGAAGGAAAAGAGAAGAAAAAACAATTTTCTCTTTTCCGTTTTTCTCCCAACTGATACTCCATTTGAATAATCAATTTATTGGTCAATAGTTTTGCACTTTGAGTCTCCATTACTTTTTAACCGTGCCTCTGTTCATGATAATCTCTTGGCAACTCAATTTTCATGGTTTCAACATTCTTCATTGGGATTTCATTTCCATCACACTTGGTCAATAAGAGTGACACAAAGCGAAGACTGGAAAAGTGATGAAACTCAATACATATTCAATGAGGTTGATATTATACTTGATTAACTCACAAGATTTCAGAATCAAACGGTTAAGCGTTTCATGATTTGCTTCTTTCAGCGAGAAAATTTCATTTTAAAATTCAAATTCCACCCATTCACCAGTTTACAGAAGAAGCGTAAAGATTCAATCAACATTTATCCACCAAAATGCGCAAAGTCTGACAAAGCATTTGAATTAATCATCAGAAAAGCTTGAAATAATCATGAGATAAAAAAAAGATTTTCATTGTTCAACAAATTCTACAAAACCAAACACTAATTAACTCTCAACTTTGAACACCAATCAGAACATGAGCTTGGAAATTGATTCGTAAAAAAAGTGTATAGAATTTCAGAGAAAAAAAGAATTGAACAAACATTGAATTTTTTCAGAAAAGTCGAGTTCTCAACTTTTGGAATGAATTGTTTGACAGATTCAACTTTTCTGACATTTTTACAGTTTCTTGTGTTCCTTTGCTAGTGAACAGTTTCATGTGATTATACTTATCACAATATCAAAAAGAAATGTAAAGATGATCTTCTTTTTTTTCTTCTGTCTATTTTCATTCTTCGCTTTAATAGTTTCGTAATGAATTTTGGCCTTTCTGTCAAACAGACACTCATCTGAAGGTGTTATCATTTGTTCATTTCTCACCAAAAAATGTTTCATTTTTCTTCACTCTTCTTATCTCTCTCTCTTTTGTCTTCACTTTTTTTAATCACATCATTCACTTTGCTCTTTGTTATCCATTACATTTGTTTGTTTACTTGTTTCTTGTTCATCCTTTTTTTCACCCTTTACTTTGAACAAAATGCTCCTCTACTTGGTACTATTGACTTTTGTACTGTTCAATGTTCCGTGGCTGAATATAATGCAATCAGATAAGAAATTTGATGCTTCAAAGTCATTTGACTGAATGTTATATATTTGCTCATGGGAATCAATTGATGTTTCCGTTGTTGTTTTTGCTTCTCCTTGGTAAACAATAACAACAATAACAACACCAAGAAACAAATATCAGAATTGAGTGAATTATACCATGAAAACAATGAGACTTGCTAGTGAATCATCTAAATGAGATCAGAAAAAAAGTTGATTTAAAGATGAAGATGAAACAAGAATAAGTTGGTCAGG